GGGGGGGGGAGAGGAAGGAGGAAGGAAGGCGGGGAAGGAGGCGCGGGCCAGGATGGACACATGGGGGCGCACCTGTCGCCTGGGTTCAGGAATGAGGCGGCCTTGATCGACTGGATGAGGGTCAAGTACTCGCGCTGGTACAGGTAAAGGTTGCTGTCCTGATCGACCACCAGCAAGCCGCCAAGACCATCTTCGTACTCCAGGCGCGGGGCGCCCGGACGCTGGGCCTGGGTCACCGCATGGCTGGACAGCTCGGAAGAGGTGAAGGCCAAAAGACGAACCCCCTGGCGGCCATTGAGGTTGATGGTGGAAACACGCGGGGCAACCGCCCGCCGGGCCGGACGCCGAGGGGGGGTGGCGCTGCCGGGGGACCCGCCATCTGCCAGGCCGGCCTGGCGTGCGTAGAACGCCGCGGCAGAGGGCCGTGCACCGGGGCGACCGGCGGTGGCCCCGGTGTCCGGCATCGAGGGCGACACAGGCCGCACGGGCTCGGCCATGGAAGACACAAAGACAGGGGCCTCCTCCGGCAGGACGCCCTGGAAAAGGTGGATTTGACCATGCTGGTTGCCGATCGCCAACACCCGGTGCAAGCTATCGTAGGCCATGGACGAGGGGACGGCAAAGAAGCCATGAGTGGTGGTCTGTCGGCCAGGGCCAAAGGAGGGCCGGATGTGGGTGCCGAGAGATGTCAGACGGGGAGATGGATGGAAGAGAGGGGGAGCGAGAGGGAGAGAAGTGGGGGGGGGAGAGAGAGAGAGAGAGAGGTGGGAGGGGAAGGGGGAGAAGGAAGGGGAAGCCGAGACCCAGCGTACCTGGCCCACGCGTGGCAGCCATTCTTCGGGGTCAGGGCCGGCGCCAAGAGCTCGCGGAGCCGTGGTCGCGGCCGCCAACTGGGCAAAGAGATATTGCGCCGCTGGCTGGGAGGAGACCGCGCAGCCGGAGAACCCCTGGGCAAAGGTGCCGGTGTCTGTGTGCTGATCAGCCTCCAAGTGGTCTTGATCCGAGCCCTGGCGGAAGTTGTTGATGAAGTTCTTGAAGCTCTTCATGACGTCACACCCAGGGGCGGGGAGGAGAACCAGTGGAGGGGGGGGGGCGGAGAAAGGAGGAGGAGAAAAGTGCGAGAGGGGTGACGAGAAGGGAGGGTGATGAGGACGCAGGGGGGAAAGAGGCGTGTGGGGGAGGGGGGTGTGGGCATGCCTTGGCCGAGCTCCACGTTCGTGGCTCAAGAGCAGCTAAGCAGGAGGAGAACGAGGAGGACAGAGAGAGAGAGAGAGAGAGAGAGAGAGAGAGAGAGAGAGAGAGAGAGAGAGAGAGAGAGAGAGAGAGAGAGAGCGAGCGAGAGCGAGAGCGATCGAGCGGAGCTGAACGGATCGAGTGCCGGTAGATACTCGCGCGCAGACAGAGGGGGGCGGGGACCTCAGCGAGCGCAATCGGGCAAACTCCGAAAGGGGGCCAGTCCCCTCCTTGGCCCGGCCTGGCCCGGCCCGGCGCGGGCCGGGTGCCCGGGCCGATCAGCTTGGGGCCTAGCATGAAAACACGGGCCGCCGCAAGCCCCAAGCGCGCCCGGGTGGGGCAATCTCCCCAACCCCGCTATATAACAAGCAAGCCAGTTAGAGCCAGAACTGCGTGGGGGGCGGGGAGGGGGGGGGCCACAGGGCATTCTCAGACCCCGGCCGGGGGCGCCTCGGCCCAGGACCGGCCAGGGCCCGGCCCGGCTCCCCCCCCCCCCCGCCCTGCACCTCGACCAGCCGGAGCGTCGCCCCAACACGCGCAGGCTGGGGCTCCGCGCAGGAGATCGCCACGCCCAACATGCGCCGCCGCGTAGGGCCTAGTACTGTTCGCTGCCCCCCCCCCGCCCCGCCAAGGGAGACGGGGGCTGTGAAAGATAAGACGCGGGAGACAAGGATGGAAGAAAGCCGAGTCTCCAAGTCCAGCAAGTCCCGCGGCTCCCGGTCGTACTCGAGGCCAGGGCGAGAGCCAGTTTCCTGGGGCTTTTCTCAGCACCGAGGGCTGCTATGTGGCTAAGTTAATATACCCAGCAATCTGGAATCGCATATAACCGATCTATTAATATGCCCGGCTATCCTTGCCATTGGACCTTCTGAATATGTCCCCCCGGCCCTCCCCCCTGTCAACAGGCGGTTCCATGCCCGGCACGCGCGGGCCGCCGAGGGGGGTACGTGCGTTCGTGGCCAGACTCCAAAAGGGCGACGGTTCCCCCTCAGGCCGGGGCCCAGCGTTGGCATGCAGCCCGGCCCCGAGCCCTGCCAACGGTCAATATTCGGCGGTTCAGACACCCGCGCCCCCGCCTCCCTCCCCCCGGGAGACGGGCCTCTGTTTTTCGGGCTGCTGCCACCGGGGGTCCGAGGAAGCCGCGCTCATCCCAACATCTTCCCAGCCTGGAGGCCAAGGGTGCGTAGGAGATGGGTCCGGGGTCTGGGGCGCCGCGGCAGTGGTGGTGTGAGTGGGAGCCCGGGGGGAGGGCGAGGGGCGGGGGGGCGGGAGGGGGCCCCGGACTGGGAGGCTCGGCTGTGGAATGTGCACCTGAAGTCTTTAGGATTGTGTGCGAGCTGGCGATGGTACCAGAGACTGCCCCCTCCTCCCCTGCGAGCCGAGCCGGCCCCCAGCGCATTGCCGGCCCTGCCCCTGAGACTCTCGCGGTGGTCAGTGTCACACACACGCACACACACACACACACGCGCACGCTTACATTGCTCATGCCCGGCCGCCGTCCGAACCCCGTGCGTCCTACTCCCTAAGGCAGGCCGAGTGCCGGGCGCGCCCTCCCGCGCAGGGCGCCGACGTGACACCGGCACCAGGGGACCGGCGCGGGGGGTGCACCGGCCCAGGCCAGCGGTGCATTCCAAGCTCCCGGCCGCGCCCGAGAGGCTGGGATTTAGCTTTCCTGCTGCTGCCCCCTCCCCCACTCCCGATCAGTGGGCCGCCAGTGCGGGGATGTGTACGAGTGTGTCGCGAGAGCTCCAGCTCCCCGGAGACACCCCCCGCGGCCGGCCCGACGGTCGGGGAGTCGCCCCGGCGAAGGGTACGAGACAGACGGACACAGAATGGGGGGCCGTCCCGACCTGAGGCCCGGGCGCCTCCCCTTCCTGGGCCCAGCCGTTGTCGGCCGCACCCCGCCCCCTCCGATGTGTGATGTGTTCCTGGCATCGGGGGGGGGGGAAGATCCCCCGGGCCCTCGCGCGAACCCTCGTCCAGCAGGACTCGGGGCTCCTTGCCGGGTAGGGGGAGAGAGGGCAGGGGCCGACAGCGCCCCTTGGGGGAAGGGGGGGGGGGGGGGGCCAGCCGGCTTGGGCCCTGCTCTGCCGCCCCTATTATCCCCAAGCGCTGAAAAATGTCCGCGCTCATTCGGGCACTCCCCGATGCCGCCGGCACTGCCCTCCACTCCCCCTCCCCCCCCCCCCCCCCCCCCCCCCCCCCCCCCCCCCCCCCCCCCCCCCCCCCCCCCCCCCCCCCCCCCCCCCCCCCCCCCCCCCCCCCCCCCCCCCCCCCCCCCCCCCCCCCCCCCCCCCCCCCCCCCCCCCCCCCCCCCCCCCCCCCCCCCCCCCCCCCGCCCCCCCCCCCCCCCCCCTCCCCCCCCCCCCCCCCCTTTCCCCGCCCCCCCCCTCCGCGCCGCTCGACCCGCGCCCCCTGCGCCCCCGCGCCCTTCCGTCCTTCTGCCGGAGCCGAGCCGCCAATCGGATCTCGTCCCGCTCCCCCCCCCCCTCTTTCTCCCGTTTCTCTCGCTTTTCTTTCTTGCACCATGGACCCCAGCTTTGATCAGGCCGGCGACGCCCAGGGCTCTCAGTCCGCCGAGAAGAAGAACAGGTACTCCCTGTCCGCCGCCGCATGTTCCCTCCCTCCCTCCTCTCTATTCCACCTTGTCATGACCCTGTCGCCCCCCCCCCCTCTCTCTCTCTCTCCCCCTCGTCCCCACCCTCTTTGCTGACCAAACCCCTCTCTCCCTCTCTCCCGCTGCCCTCCGGCGCCGGGGCTCCGTCACAGTGTCGTTCTCAAGATCGGCATGGTGGGTGACAGCCAGATTGGTAAGACCAGTCTCATGGTCAAGTACGTCGAGGGCTCCTTCGACGAAGACTACATCCAGACTCTTGGTGCGTGTCCAGACCCGCGGCCCCGCTTCGATTTGGCCACATGCCTACATGCCACATACTGATCATCCATCGCCCCTCCCCCCCCCCCCCCTCGCTCCTGCTCCTGCGCCTCCCCTCCCTAGGTGTCAACTTCATGGAGAAGACTGTGCAGGTCCGCAACACCGAGATCACCTTCTCCATTTGGGATCTTGGCGGCCAGCGGGAGTTCGTCAACATGCTGCCACTTGTGTGCAGTGAGGCGGTAGTTCTGCTCTTCCTCTTCGACCTTTCTCGGAAATCCACCCTCAACAGTGTCAAGGAGTGGTACCACCAGGCGCGCGGTTTCAACAAGGTGCGTCATCCGCCTCCCCGCTTTGCTTTCCCTCCCCTCATTCTTTCGTTGTTGTCTGACCCTGTTCCATTGCTTGGAATGATGCCTCTTATGTGGCATTTCGCCCCCCCCTCTCCCTCTCTCTTTTTCTCCCTCTCTCTGCTTCTTCACGCTTCCATCTCTTGCTCTTCACTCCTCCAAAGAACGCCATCCCTTTCCTCATCGGCACCAAGTTCGACCAGTTTGCGCAGTTCCCCCTCGAAGAGCAGGAGGAGATCACCAACCAGGCGCGGAAGTTTGCCAAGGCCATGCGCGCGCCGCTCATCTTCTGCTCATCAGCCCGTTCGATCAACGTGCAGAAGCTCTTTAAGATCGTCCTCAGCCGCGTGTTTGACCTGAAGTGCACCATCGAGATCATTTCGGAGATCGGCTCCCCGATCCTCGAGTACTGAGATTGGGTGGCATTACGTGTGTATGCGTTTGTGGGTGCACGCGTGCCTGCGCACGTGCATGCTCACTCCTGCCTATATATATATACCTCTCTTTCTCTTTCTCCATCCCTATCTCTCTCTCTTCGCACCCACACACACCGCCCCCTCCCCCCCCCCCCCACGCGCATGATGCCCAGATGTGCACATATGTGTGCGTGTGTGCGTGTGCGTGTGCGTGTGTGTATGCATGCACGTGTGAGAAGAGGAGAAACCAGCCCGGCAGGTAGGACAAAGTGCGTGATGCATGGCGACGAAGAATGGATGCCCCTGTGCAGGGGGGGGGGGGGGGGGGGGGGGGGGGGGGGGGGGGGGGGGGGGGGGGGGGGGGGGGGGGGGGGGGGGGGGGGGGGGGGGGGGTCCTGGTGGAGGGGGGGGTGGTGGGTGGTGGGGGGCGGGGGGATGAGGGTGGTGGGGGCGGGGTGGGGGGGCGGGGGGGGAGGAGGGGGAGGGGGGAGGGGGGGGAAACAATGGAGGGGACTGGAGGGGGGCAGGTGAGGGGGGGAGGGGGGGGGGGGGGGCGCGGTGGGGACAGGAGCGAGGGGTGGATGAGCAGAAGGGGCACCGGGAGCCCGCCCAATGGGCCAAGGCGTGATATGATCGCACCGCACAGAGAGCCTGTTCGAACAGGGGCCGGGCAAGGGTCCCCTCCTGCACTTCCCAGGCGGCGTACGCGTGTTCGGGCGACACGCGTCCGGCCAAATCGCGCACCAAGTCCGCCAAGAGGAAGACACGCATTTGCGCCGGTGGCGTGGAGCCCCAGGCAAAGGGCAGGGATGCCCCGTGGAGGAGTCTCTCAACGAGGGCTCGAGCATCGGCGTCCGGCAGATCGGTGGCCACGATGAGCACCGCCGGGCGGGCCGCCCGGAGTCGCGCAGCTGCCTGGGCCTCCAGCATCTCCACCGGGGGCAGGCACAGGCGCTGAAGGGCCGGGTCGCGGATGCGCGCGCACTTCCGCTCGTAATCCGGCCCCCGGCGGAAGTGCCATGCCATGACCGGGGCCCCGGTGGCGGCCGCGGCGTCAGATGCCGGCCCCCGGCCGGCGGCCAGACCGGCCAGGATGTCGGCCGCCAGGGCCAGAAGACGCCGAGCCGGGCGCACCGGGTCACTGACCACACGCCATGCGCTTGCCTGGCGCAGGTCCGGGTATCGCCGGTACGGATAGTCGGCCATCTCGCGGCCGGCCGCCGGGAAGTCCATGGCCCAGTAAAGTGTGCCGAGTGAGAGGATCGGCTGGTCGGCCAGCCCCGGGGCCTGGAACAGCCGGACCAGGGAATCCGCCCGACGCCGGTACAGACTCCGCGGCAGCGGCGTCACCTGGTCGGCCTCCAGTCCGAGCAGGTCCCGGTGGTAGGCCACGGTCTCCGCCTCGGGGGTGTGCTCGTAGAGGGGGTTATGCAGCAGGCGGGCCAGGCGAAAGCGGTCGTTGCCCGAGGCCGGGGCAGGCGCCGCACCCAGGGGCCGGCCACTGGGCCGGCCGCCCCCCTCGGCCAGGCTCAAGGCCAACTCCGCCAGCAGCAGGCGAAAGTTCATGGTCGACAGCACGCGGCAGGGCAGACCGCCCGGCTGGCCACCGCGCAGGGCGTCCGCCGGGGCCCCGAGCCCCCCGGCCCCCGGCGGCAGCAGGTGGCCCGCGTCATACACCGACTCGAAGGCCCAGTCCCATCGGTAGTCGGCCACGTGGAAGCTGAAGTCCCACCCGGCGGCGGCTTGGCCCGTGCCCGAGTCCGAGCCCCGGTCCCTGGCGTGGTGCCGATGGCCGGGGCCGTGGGGCTCGTCTTCGTCCGTCGGGGCGGCTGCCTCCCGGTCGGGAGGCCGGTGGCGTCGTTGCCCCACGAGCGGCAAAACCAGCTGCCTGCCCAGGAGTCGCGCCAAAGCACAGGCACACTTGGCCCCGATGAGTTGGTTGTTGAGCTGCTCCCAGGGCATGTAGGTGAGCAGCCCGGCGGATGTGGCTCGCGTATCGGAGGCGAGATCGCCGATGCGCGTGGCCGGCTCCGGGGCGTCGAGCTCCAGGCGGACCAGGTCCAGCATGGCCGGCCAGAACCCGGCCCGCCGGGCTTCCACCGAGGCCTGGGCCAGCCACCGGCCCCATGCCCGGGGCATCAGGGCCGCGCGCAGGTCCTGCCGTGCCATGGTCGCACGGTAGGCCAGCAGCCAGGCGCCGGGTGAGCCGCTCGGCCCGGCGGCCGTGAGGCTGGTTGGCACGGCCGCCGGCCGGCCGACCGCCAGGATCACTCGCGCCCGGGGATGGGTCAGCCACAGTAGCCCGGCCAGGTGGTCGGTCTGCTCCCAGCCAAAGGCCATGCCCAAGTGCGGGTCCAGCGCCAGGACCCGGTCGCACCGACGCACATCCTGCAGGTATGCCGCCCAGCCGGCCGGATCCGAGCGCTTGCCCGCGGGCGGCAGGCTCAAACGCCAGCGCATGTCCCCGGCATTGGCGGCCGGCTCCCGGATGACGGTGGCCGCGGGGGCCGATGTGAGCGCCCCGGCCTGTGGCAGGTCGCCCGAGCGGGTGACGACGGCCGTGCAGCCGGCCGCCGGCGGGCGCGTATCCTCCAGGCGCCGGGTCCGAAAGGAGGCCATGTCCCGCCCGGTGGGCCAGGGAGCCGCCAATGCCAGGATGACTCGCCCGGCTGGCGGCTCGGTGCTGGCGCCGGCGCTGTCCGCCCCGGGCCGACACCCGGCGTCCGTGACGATGGCCAGCTCCGGGAAGACCAAGCGGGCCGCGGCCACTAGGGCTCCCGGCAGGGGCCGGGTCTGGACGCCGGACGGAGGGCAAAGTCCGGCCGGGTCGCCGGATCGTGCGTCCACTTCTCCCACCCAGGCCTCCGCGGCCAGTTCAAGCCAGGCGCAGTGTTGGCCCGAGCCCGGGAGTGCCTCGCGCCAGAGTGCGTCAATGGCCAGCAGGCCCGGCAGTAGGCCCAGGGTGCCGGCCGGGCCGACGAGCCCCGGGGCCCACAGTACCAACCGACAGCCGGGCTCATCCGCCGGGGCAGGCGCCATGCTGGGCCAGCCGCCCAGCGGCGCAGGCAGCGCATCGGTCCAAGACCCGGGCTCCGGATCCGGCGATGCCTCTGCATGCTCCAGGACACAAAAGCGCCCCGTCGGGCCGATATCAGCCCCGAGGTCCGGCAAGCCGGCGCTGTGGCAGGGGGTGGCCCAGCGCCAGCCGGAGCTGGCCACGGGCTCCGCCATGACGCCGGCCCCGGCCACAAGCAGCTCGCCAGTATCCGGGGCCGAGGCGCCGAGCCATGGCCGCATGCTTCGGGCAATGGCCCGGCGCGCGGTCGCCGGCATGCCGACGGGCAACCACTTCAGGAGACACACAAACACGAGCGCCAACACCAGAAGGGCCAGGCCTCGACGCATGGAGCGAGGCAGGAGGACACGCAGCCAGCGCCCCAGGCGCCGGGCCACACCGGCGGCAGGCCCTCCCGCCGCCACAGGCGTCGACGGTCGTCCACGGTCGCGGGCCGTGTGCTTGCGAGCCATCTCCCGCTGCTCCGGCGGCCTCAGCACATGGAGCGGGAGAGTGTGGCTCCGCTGGAGCGGTGCCCGGCGAAGACCCTTCATTCAGGTGGCCCACCCACGGCGACAGCGCCAGGCCCGGGCACCCGGAGCAGGGTCCGTCAGCAGGCCGAGCACGTCGGCAGGTGTATGCGCGTATGGGCGCTTGACTGTCCCGACTCAGGAGTTAAGGCCACAGCCGGGCGCGCGGTGGCAGGGCAATCTATCGCGGGCGTTTGGGGCAAAAAGAGGGGGTGGAAAAAAAGAAAGAAAAAAAACCCCGCGAAAAGGCGGATCGGAGGAGGGAGAGGACGCGGGGCGGGATGTCTCCCGGGCCCGCCGGCCCGCCGGCCCGGCCACGCCCCCCTTTTCCGGTCCCTCGCCCACAGGTGGGGAAAGGGTACCCCCAAGAGACCCACAATCACACCTGGGTGTCAGCAATGTCACGTGTGTGCTTAACTGATCACTGTCCATTTAAGCGGGAGGGCGGAAAAGGCACACCAAGCCGGGGGGGGGGGGGGGCGGAGGCAGGCCTACGGGGTGTATTATTATTCTTTTTTTTTCTTTTTTTTTTGCACGCCGAGGGAGGAGCGTGGGGGGAGTTTTGCGAGACGCGCCCCGGCGTCCTGGGACACACTACTGGAAGTCGTCGAAGGAGATCTTGGCCTTGCGTGACCGGGAGGAGGCCTTCTTGGCAGGCATCGGGGGGAGGTCGGCATCGGAATCGGAGTCGGAATCGGGGAGTGGGGCCGGCGCGGCCCGGCGAGCGGGGGCCGGAGGCTCGGTGGCCGGGAGGACCGTCGGCGATGGAATGCCCGAAGCCGGGGCCGACACCGGGGCGGCGCTCGGCGCAGAGGTGCTGGACTTCTTCTTCTTCTTCTTCTTGCCACTGCCATCTTCAGATGCGGGGGCCAGGTCCACCGAGGAGCCACTGACACTGACGGTGGCCGAGGACGAGGCGGAGGACTTCTTACGAGGGCGTGGGGCAGCCAGCCCGGTGGCCGAGTCATCGGAGAGAGCACGCCGCGAGGGGGACTTCGTCGAGCGAGGCCGGCTCGACGAGGCGGGACCGCCTCCCATGGAGAGGGTCAGCGCATCGAGATCCATATCGGCCATGACCAGCCCGGAGTGGTGGTCGTCATCGCTGTCGCTGTCCAGCGCCACGGCCACGGCCGTCGAGGCGGGCTGACGGGCCGGGGCCCGGGCCCGCGAGGAGGATGACGCCACGGCCGGCAGGTCCTCATCAGCCGCGACCAGCCCGCCGGTGCTGTAGCGGCTGTCGCTGTCGCTGTCGCTGTCGCTATCGCCATCCCGGGCAAAGGTGGCCGAGGCCGGGGCGGGCCTGCTTCGCGCCGGAGAGGGGCGCGTAATGCGAATGGAGGACATGGAGCCGGCGGTCGGGCCGGCGGCCGAGCCGGCTGCCATGTCCGGGAAGCCATCGTCATCACCGAGGACCAGGGGGTTGTCATCGTCCGAGTCCGAGTCCGAGAGGTGGGCCCGGGCCGCCGGGCGGGCCGGCTGCTTGGCCGGTTTCTTGGTCGAGGCGGCCGTGGCACCGGGCCGAGGCTTGCCGCCAGCCGCGACCGGCGCCCCGACAGTGGGGCTGTCCCAGAAGGCGTCGGCGATGGCCCCGCCATCGGCCAGCTCCAGGGTGAAATCATCCAGCGACCGGAGCGGCGTCTTGGAAAGGGTGACATTGGCGGCCGTCTCCTTGAGGGTGGGTCCGGTGGGCGAAGCCGGGCCCTTGGCGGCTTCGGCAGCCGCGGCGGAGCCCCCGCCGAAGAGGCGCGAAATGAAGGAGAAGGTCGAGCCCGGGGCGGTGGCCGATGGGGCGGCGGCGCCGCCGCCAGCGCCGGGGCCCGAGGTGGCCGAGGTCGGCGGCGACGCAGGGCCCGAGGCTACGGGGGCCGGGGCCGGGGCCGGGGCCGGGGCCGGGGCCGGAGGAGCGGACTTCGTCCGGGCGGGAGTCGGACCCGAGGCCGAAGTCGAAGCGGCGGCTGCCACAGGTACCGACACGATGACGGGGCTGCCTGCTGCCTTGGCCGGGGGGGCCGGCGCCGGGTCAGGGGCAGAGCCTGGGGCCTCGGCCGGCGAGGTGCGCACAATTCGAGGGGATGGCTTGGCGCGAATGTTGCGCTGCGTTTGAACATAGCGATCATAGGCATCCGAAGTGGATGCCAACTCGGCGGAGGTGGCCTCACGGAGCTCCGCCTCGCTGGCCTGGCGCTCGCGCGCCACATCGGCCCGGAGCTGTGCCAGGGACCGATCGACCACGGCCAGATACGGCCCGGCCAGCCACCGGTCAACCTGCCGCAGGCCAAACCCATTGGTCAGGGCCACTTCGGCGTAGTGGATCGGCGCGGCGCCCGGGCTGGCGTCGGCCGGCTGAACCTCACGCCGGGCCTCGGTGACCGCCAGCGCCAGGGACAGGCCCTCCTCGGCCGAGACAACCCGGTGGTCACCGCGGTCGCGGCAGGTGGCCAGCAGCAGGACGGGAAGGTGGGCGGGCAGGGTGTTGGAGGTGTTGGCTGGGCTTTCGGCATCCTGCTTGTCCTCTTCCTCGTCGGCCGGGCCGGAGCAGGAGCTAAGCAGCATGGTGCGCGCATAGTCGAAGGTCCAGCGCTTGGTCATGTCATAGACCACGACAATGCCGTCGGCATTGTGGTAAACGTCGATCGTACTGCTGTCCAGGGCGACGGCCCCGGAAGAGGCATCTGGAGCAGGAGGCCGAAAGGGCCGAGTCAGATGCCGGGGGAGAGGCATTTGCGCGAAGATGTGGCGGGCCGAAAGAGGGGGGGGGGGGAAATGGCAAAATGCAGGCATCGACGTACCCTTGCGGGCTTCATCAACCACATCCCACAGCTCAACCTTGACGGTCTCGTCGTATGCTGTGTCCCGACCGTGGGACATGATTGGGCGTTCAACAGGAGCATGGGTGAGAGGAGTTCTGCATGTGGGTGGGGGGGACACATGTGCCGAGGCAAGAGAGAGGGAGGGGGACCCGCGTGCGGGCGTGTACCTTTGTACTTCCATGCGACGCTGGTGGATGTGATTTCCGACGTCGGCAGGTAGGCGTCGGCATTGATGGTGGTCAGGCTGGCGGGGACAAAGGTGCCGGCAGTTTGGCTGGCAGACCCGGCCATGAAAACCGAGTATTCCTCAAATCGACGAATGAGCAGGGATTTCCCGGCGCCACGGTCACCGCGGACGAGGATCTTGACTGTGTGCAGTGGAGGTGTCCGCCGCGGTGAGTGGAGCAAAGAAAGGGAAAGGGGGGCGGTGTGGACGAGGAGTGGAGGGGGGCGCGGAGAGGGGAGGAGGGGCCGGGGGGGGGGGGGGGAGAACAACACACCATTGTAGTCGATTCCTCGAGAGAAGGCCAATCGCGCCGAGGCATCGATCTTGTGGATGGCCCGGTGGTCGGTGCCGACTGTCCCGGCCTGGGTCGGGGGCGTTGAGGCTGCCGCCACCGAGGGGGACTGTGAGCCCAGAGACGGGAGCCAAGAATTGAACATCGGTCTGCAAACAGGGAAGGGCGAGGGTGGTGGGGAAGCCCGCGCCGCGGGGCGTGTGCGTGGAGGTGTGTGGGCGTCTGGGGGGGG